TTATCCTTTCTACCTGAAAATGACTATGTCCTTTTTCCAAGTTTGATTGTTAATGACAGTCTAGCACTAATCATGGTGTTTGAAACTGAAGTTGACTAAAATATCCCTGCTTCGCTGTCAAAATAATGATATGTTGAAACTCCTTTAAAAAAAAACAACCCCCCCCCCCTCAGAATGGAATCTGAAGTGATGACCATTGAGGCAGCTTCTCATTGTGGTAGCTGGGTTGAATAAACAACATTTTGAGGCAAGCATTCTTTTTCTATATATTTAAATTGAAATTGCCATGAAGAAGTGGTAAATAATTGCATTAATAAATAAATAAATGCATTAATCCTGATGACAGCAGGCACTCAAAGCTGATGCAAAAGCAACCCGAGCTGTTGTGTGAAGTAGCAGTATTAAGTTTATGTGTACAAATGAAGTCAGGGTGATGTCTTGTAGTGAGATCTCTTTATCTCTTATCTATTGGCTGTAGAAGTAGAAGCAATTCTGATATACGTGACTTGGACTGCACGGCACATTTGTTTGTTTTGGACCGTGACTTGGACTGCACGGCACATTTGTTTGTTTTGGACCGTCTTTGTTGGGTGTTGATTTACACACTGTTAAAGACAAATCTTCCTGAGATCCACAGCACCAAAACCTCTGAACTATTAATATCGTTGGTGTTCATCAAACTCAAAATGGACCAGCTGGATGACCTGTGGCCTTTGCATTCACAGGAGTGGATCTTAATGGAGTAGCAAAAAGTAGTCTTAATGTGTCACTGGTAGGTTCACTGAATCATGTTGCACATGCTTGGGGTTGCAACCAGATAGTACCATCAGTAACTTTGGGTTGGGGCTGCATTCAGATAGCACTGACTAAATATGTCCATGCCTGCTACTGCTAGTTTCAGTGAAGGTCTTGTAGGCTGCATGGACTGGGACACAGTTAATAGCTAGATGCTTATAAACTCTTCTCAGTAGTATTGTTTTTCTTACTAGCATGGCTTGGTTAAGCACTTTTTCCATTCTGGGGCTAAGTTCAGTCAATTCTAGAGGAAGGGGGTGGAGTGTCACTTGGCACAGGAAAAGATGTTTATCTTCAAGTTTTAAGTTTTATTTTTCTCTCTTCTTTGAGGTGCCTAGCACATAAGTATTCTTATCTATGCGTATTCCAAATAAAATAATAATAATAATAAATGGTAAATTATTGTATTTGAACAAGTGATTTTTCCCCCTAACATTTGGTTCTTCCTCTTATGGCAGCCACAGAATACATTCATAATGCATCAGTCCACTTCCTATGTCTCTGTTGCCTGAAAAAGAGTTTGTTAAATGTTTAGTTTTATAAAAAAAATTGTTATTGCTGCCATAGGTGAAGATATATATAAAATGCAGAGCAGAAAGGGATTTTGCAATACATCCTCTCTAGAAAATTGAACAAAAGCAACATAGTAGACAATAACAAGGGGCTTTTGGGGGAAAAGTACCAAGTCTATAACTTGCTTTGAACCAAAATGGCTCAAAAGAGTATGCAGGATTCTAGCAACAAGCAAGATACAACAAAAAGTAAGTGATGGGTAGAAGTAGGAAAGATAGGTGTCTATATTTCAGCTATAAAATCTGTATTTGGGGATTAATCTTGATAGATACTATAGATTCAATGTTTTTGTTGACAGTAGAGGATAATTGTCTACAGCAGATAGTAGTACTTCACTGCTGATCTCCAGTATTGACCAGGATTGAATCTAGTTAAACTTGGATAGGAAAACAACATGAGTTTTCAGGAGTTGTAGACTAGACTGAGAAATTGAAAAACTATCCCGGATGAAAGCAGCGATAAATCAAATTGCAAGAAAACTATATGGTTTGCAAGTAATTACCAGGAATTGAATTCAAGGAGATGCTAGGTTAAAAGTACAGTTAGCATTCAGAGAGGAAGACAATGTTTACTCCAATGCTCAGCTCTGAAAACTACAAAGATAGTTTTTAAGTCTGTCTCCTCCTCTTATAAAGAGTGCAAGCAATATTCAGCTGACTATCTTCATGGATTAAAATGTCATTATGCAAAGGCTCTTGTTTCTTTGCTTCTATTGACAGCTTATGCTTGTTTCTCTGTCATGTGCTGGGAAATGTGACTTCATTTATTTTCCATTGGCCCATCCATAATCCTTGAGTGCAATTGCAACATCTCATTTTTATGCTTCCTTGATTATTTTAAAAAAGCATGACTTAGTGGAAAAATCCTGACCTCTTCTATCTGTGCAGCTGTTACAGATAAGATTCTTTAGGCTATTTAAATCACACACACAAACATATATATTTGGGGGGATATTTATTTAAAGAAATCATTTATTCCTTGCTTTAATGTGGGGTAGGTCAGCATATTTTCAAAATGGCTATTCCACTTTGATCTAATGTGCTTGCCATAACAAAGAAGGTTTAATGCTGTTCTGTCCTGTGCTGCTGTTCATTATAGATATAGGAGGTGTTTTGTTCCCTTATTGAGGATGTATATTGGCTTATCCAAATTATGAACTTCGGGCTTCACTGCAGCTCATCTCTCCCCCCAAATTTAGAGTCACCTGATAGTGTTGGTTGAGGATAATGGGAATTGTACTGCTGAACAATTTGGAAATGTTCTGCTGAAGAAAGCAACTTTAAGTAAATGCCAACATTTCCCCGCCTCTTGAATGGGAAACAATAGTTAGCTAAATCTAATGCTTTATACCAGTGATGGCAAACCTTTTAGAGACCAAGTGCCCAAAAACTAGCCCTGCCCCCGCTCCACCCCCTGCCCCGCCCCTGCTCCACCCCACCCTGCCTGCCCGCAGGGCCACTCACCGCCTCCAGGGTCCGCCGTAGATCGCCCAGGTAGCCCAGCAGCGCCATGGCAGCCACACCCTCTGCCCACGCCCCGCAGCATCAACTGTGCATGTTGGGGCGTGAGGGCAGAGTCTTGTCTATGCTGCCTAGCTGCCATGTCCTTGGCTGCGCTGCTCCACATGGGCTACGCTCAGGGGCGACTCTCCTCCAGGGGGTTGCTGGTAAGGAGGGGGTCGCGGGCAGTGGCAAGGCTGGGGCAACGGCATGTGTGCCCACAAAGAAGGCTCCGAGTGCTGCCTCTGGCACCTGTGCCATAGGTTCACCACCACTGCTTTATACACAACCTGTAGACTCTATACAGGGTTTGTTTGGTCATCTGATATGTTTTAATGGTGAGATGGAATCTTCAGCTGAGTTTATAATAGCTTTCTAAGTGATCAGTGTAGGACTGATGGGATGAAAAATTCTTAGAGTGGAATAGATCAGACATTAATATTGTAGTTATTTCCATATGAGTTTAATTGATATTTCTATTATCTGGAAATATCTACCTAGCATAGTAGTTGTACATTTACATAATATTCAAATTTGTTGAAATGCAGTTCTCAGTATCTTTAGGTCAAATGCAGGTGCAGGCTTGAGAGCTAGTGTCTAAAACATCTGGGGGACACTAGGGTGGCAAAAATTGACTAAGGAAATGTTACCTGTTGAGTATCTGCAAAGAGCTCAGACAGTGAAGCAATGGAATTATCAAAATACTGCCTTGCCAACAGTAACATCTTGGCAGTGCTAACTTGGCCAGAGTAAAATAGCAGGTTATTTAATGTAATGGGTGAAAGTATATTTGTGTATGGTCTGATGTTGGCAAGAATCCAGTGGAGTATCAGGAACAGAGACGAACAACCCTTCAAGAGGAGAATTTGAGACATAAGCGTAGTGGGTTGCTTGATAATATCCAGTTAGTCAAGTATTGACATAATTCATACATTATGGGTAACCTAGACCTAGCTCCAGAACTGAATTATATATAATGATGTTTCAGGAAGTTGATGGACAGGACATCTGTTGTATTGTGGATTCTTTGTGCAGTATAATCACATTTGATACTTATTTATAGACATTAGAGTAACCTGAAGATCAATTTTCCTAATGTCTTATGTGTACAAAATGCACCAAGAGAGCTTTCCTTATTTAACCATTTATATGGTCAATATCTCACAAATACAGCAGTTGAGAGTAAACATTTTTTTACAAAAATCTAATAACAATCAATGCAATGTTCATGAGGTCTAAAAAAATCCCTTTTATTTTGCCAATCAAATGGCAGACTAATAATCACCAGACTCGAGGGAAAACAAAGCCTTTGGCATCTTAAGGAAGACGGATAGGGTCAGGATCATCTAGACTTTGAGAGGAATGTTGTTCCATGGGGGCAGGTGCTATGATAGGGAAGGCATATCTCCTGCATTCTGCTAGATCAGTGGTTCTCAACCTGTGGGTTGGGACCCCATTTGGGGTCGAACGACCATTTCACGGGGGTCGCCAAACAAGGCTGTCCACCATTTTTTCCCCTTTTCTTTGGCCACGCCCCTGGCACCCGGTGATGTATAAGTGATTGGGGGTCACCACAACATGGGGAACTGTATTATGGGGTCATGGCATTACAAAGGTTGAGAACCACTGTGCTAGATGGTATTTCTTCATAGAAGGGAACTTTACCCATCCTGTTGGGTCTGGTCAGATGAGCAAAGGCAAGCAATCCCATCAATGCCAAAGGGGGTAAAACTATCTCCTTTTACCTCCAGCCAACTAGTAAACGCAAGGAAAGAGAGAAATTAATGGGAATCTCTGGCTCCCTAGACATTGCTGCTAGCATTCCTTACCAGTGGGCATGCCTACTGCTGAAGTTGTAGATCAATAACATCTGGAAGGCTTTGAAATGATCACTAAAGGAAAGCAACAAAAAATTGTCTGAGAATCACAGCTGCCTACTATGCTTTAAATCTTACAATAAGGGATAATATCAGTTTAATAATAATATAATTTGGGATATGAATGAGCCTAAGTTTAAAAAATGTTTCATCTTTGAAGTTTACAGGGGGCTACTTGGATAGTTGTGAATAAATGAAAATCTACTGAAAATACATTGGATTGGAGACATTGATTATTGTAAATCTCTTATTTCAGATTTTTCCTGACCCTTCAGATTTTGATCGTTATTGTAAGCTGAAGGACCGTCTTCCTTCCATTGTGGTGGAGCCAACAGAAGGAGATGTAGAGAGTGGAGAATTAAGATGGCCACCTGAAGAGTTCCTGGTTCAGGAAGAAGAGGAACAGAACTGTGATGAAGCAAAGAAAGAGAGCAAGGAGCAGTAAAAGCACCGAAGATCTTCTGTTCTACTCAAGATGTTAGGTCATCTTGAGGAGGAGAGAACAGCTTTCTGAAGGGTCTTTTCTACAAAAGACATTCAATTTTGCACCTGCAAGATCTTAGTTTTTTTCATATTCTCTATTGAGAACTGAAGCGCTTGATATGACAATCTCCAGCTAAAACTAAGAAAGTTTGGGCAGGCAAAGCAAGCCAAAAATGATTGCCCTTCTCAAGATCATTGTTGAATTCTGTGGTGGTTGCCTGGGGCAGCCAGGAAATTAGAGGGCGCTTTGGTGGAGAAATAGGCCAGCAGGAAGCATGCTTCTTCTGAAGTGTGTGGTATTAGAAGAAATAACTGCAAATATAAATGCAGCTAAGTTCTGTAAGGGACTGGCTACAAATGCATGAGAATAGTGTTCATCTCTCAAAATCTTGCCTTCTCATAGTGTTTTTTCTGGTTTTATGTGCGCATGTGTTTGGAGGCTGGAAGACAAGCCACTGAAATGCTCCTATGACATTACCAAGTTAGGCAGTTTTCCTGCGAAACACCATAGAGGAGCAATGGGTCAATAACTAGGTTGGCCTTGTACAGCCTAGCATCTTAAAAATCACACCATCTTTATCAGGCTGCAGGGTCTGGCACTGGCTTGCTCACCTGTTGCACATAAACTATATTTTTATGTCTTTTTTTTTTCTTGGCACCTCTTTAAGCATGCATTTTAACATCGCAGTGAATAGCTTTGTATGGCCATTGAGCTGTTGACTATAGAAATGGCCTTTACTACTTGTTCTGCAGTTATTTTGTTTAGGCTGTAAAAGATCACATTTTATTTTGTTTGGGAGGTGGGATTGGAAGAAATGCTTCTTCAGAAAAACTTCAGGAGATTTTGATATGGAAAATAAGTAATATTTTCTTTCTTGCTACTGAAGCTACTGTTTAACTCTCTCTGTTATAATGCATCTGGTTGCTGTGAAATGCAGCTTTTTCATAAGTACTGGTTTATAATTTAGTCATGTGTTTAATGCTGGATCAAGGGCTCATGATTATAGTACAGGGCCAACAAGGCTGTTAAATAGGAAGACTTTAAGAGAATCAGTATCCCCTTTAAAAGCAGGATGGTGAAAGCAGGACTTATGTTAAAAAAACAAAACAAAAGGTATTACAGCATCTCAGTATTGTTGAGAAAATAACACTTTTTTTGAACCAAGGATTTTTGATTGACTTACCTTGTTCACAGATTCTCGTTTGCCCATTATCATCTCATTCCTCATGTCCCATATAATCTCTCTTCTGAGAAGGCAAACAAATAGTTGGATAAGCTATATTGGCAGCCACATTAAAAAAAAAAAAAAACAGTATCTGACTTCTTGGCAGGAAGTTCCACAAAGTTGAAATGTCAAGTACCAGTATGGCTTTCAGATATTAAAAGCCAATGATTCCATATTAACTGTGGAGAAACTAAAACTTCATAATGTATAAACATTATAGCCTTAACAAGATAGTCAAAATAATCCTTAGTTTTCCATGATCTTTTCCATTCCTTTCCTAATTTGTTGGAACTCTGTATATGTGCTATATATAAAAGACACACGCTTACACACATGTACACTTATTTTTGATACCTCATGAGTAGTGAAATTGCTGGTAATGGGTTAGAGTTGCTTGTTGAAATCAGCAGGGTTACTTTTTTCAGTCTCGTCTCGCATGTGTTTTCCACATAATGGCAATAACTTAACAGCTGTGAATCATTGTTACATGTGGATGTGAGATTGTAGGGATGTAGTTGAGTGTTCTTGTGTGTGTGTTTTTCAGCCAAGAACCTGTAACACATATACTACCTGTCTTGGTGGATGTTTGGGCATCACTGAAATTCGTCTTGCACCCTTGCACTTGTCAAGGTTGCTTTAAAATAGATGGATCCAAATGTTTTTGTATCCTTGAATCTATTCTTGTCTTGCTGTTCAGTACAATGAGCTTTCACACTTGCACCCAACCCGAAATGCCCTATTTTTTTTCCTTCAAAAGTCACTTTTTGTTTCTCCATTTTTTTTGTCCCAGTTTGTAGTTGTCAAATGTTAACCACTCAGACCTGGAAAAACAAAAATCCTTAATGCTTAAGGACAGAGTGGGATTGTTGTTTGTCTTTGAATATTTGCGTATCATTTTTCTGCTTTTTTAAAAGATACAGTTGTTGCTTGTATTTCTGTCACTTTTGAATGTCTGAGGAACAAAACACTCCAGTGGAACTTTTCCTGTTATATATATTACATTCTATATTTCTGTAAAATTCTTTTTTGAGCCTCAGGGAAAAAGCTAGCATTTTTTTCAAACTACTTTTGTCACTGTGACAGTTGTAAATAAAGTTTGAAAATGCTTTCCAAATTCTTAAGAGGTGTCCTATTTATTTACATTATTTAAAGCTCTGGCTTTCCCATAGCCTTTTAAATAAATATTTCTCACAAATTTGGATGAAGGTGGAATCATCTCACGGAACAGAGCAATCGTACCTTCACTTTATGGCAACAATGGAGAAGAGAATCCATTGGTAGAGTGACAGCACATTCACTGTCCTCTTTCACCAAAGCCAGGAGGATCTGGTTTTATTTATTTATTTATTTATTTATTTTTTAAGAAAACCTTTTTTCTATTCTCTACAATGGAGGTAGTGACAATGTCCCAACCCTGTGTTGATAAGTAAAGCCATTTCTGTAGACATGTCACTGGGCCTTTGAATCTCATCCCGACACAGTATACCTCTGCTATCTTCCTGCACCTCAGGCAGAGCAGTTATGCTATCCAACTCTTGTGACATGTGAGAAGTGTGTGATGGCAGAATCATTGTGGGCTTCTGCTGGAGCAATACTTGCACCATTTCCTTAGCTAGTTTCCCTGGAGGATACGAACACAACCAAAACTGCACATTTACAGTAAGATTTATTGGGCTGTTGTATAAATGTAAATCCAAATATATAGCAAATGGAAGGCATTTAAGGAATAGTTTTAATTTAAAACAAGTAAATCAAAACATTCAGAAGTAGGATTAGGGGAAACTTTTTCTAAGATGTCTCTTCACTCCTTGACATCCCTGAGAGGTGGTGTTAAGTAGTAAGACGTAGCCACTTATCCACCAGGTTGGCCCTTGTCAATTGTCTGCATGTACACACTTAAAACACATTTCTGCCAAAGCAAAGCAAATTTCCTTGGCTGGAGGAAAGCCATCTTGTTCTTTCTTACCTGGTATCATCTCAAGGCCATGAGTCAGGAAGATACCATGAAGCAGAGCATCACTGCTTTGCAAAGAAGGCCTCACAGTTTCCCTTTTTGAGTGGACTCTGAAGTATGAATTAACTCTTTGCTTGATCCATAGATGCAGCATGCACTGGGTCAAATGATGTGCCCAAATGGTGTCTCTTTAAGTTAGAGCTTTTGGTTAAAATGAAGAATATTATATTTGTAGCAGAACATTATTACTAATAAACAACTTGTGAGAGAAATATAACTCTTTAAGTATTTCTAGAAGTAAAGTGGGAGGAGGTATTGTTTATTTTTAGTTAGTTTCAAGGAATTGTTGCTACATAATGCTGGGTTAATATAAAAATTAGATAGCTTCTGTATTCCCTCATCCCCATCCCGAGAGCTTTATGCTTTGTGTCAGTCTAACTGATCTTTCCAAGAATGTTGCATAGAAAATAGGCTTATATAAAACAATAAAACTTCCTCTTCACAACAATGAAGCCATTTTCCTCATCAAGGAGTTGTGGGTCAGTTCTGAGCCTTCTCTGGTATGTCCAATCGCCATTCTCTTGTTCCACCCATCCACGGTTGCAGAAGAGCAACTGCACACACAGAATGTATAGTATTTAAATCTTATTCCTATGTTCCATAAATATAATTCCATAAAATACAAATTATGCTGAGTAGAAAAGGTAAATATGAATGCTTTTCAAAAAAAAAAAAGTCTGAAAAATATCCCCATTGGAGATATATTTAATGCTTTTTTCAATGATCAAAAACAAGTTGCAGCTGTAAATATGCCATCTTGATCTTTTTTATTACTAAGTGACAGGAATAATAGCAGGCAATATTTTGTTAAACCAGGACTAAACTTAACATTTTTAGGGAGCTACAAGCTGGCAGGAATTTTTTAGCTTTTTAGTTGTGATAATGGCCATTTTTAGCTCTGATAATAAAATGCTTTAGCATTTTATCTGCCTTTCAAGTTAATTGTGATATTAGCTCTTACCTGTCATAATTAGAAGATACTTTAAAGCTGCTCCCCCCCAAAAAAAGGACTACCCATTCCCTACCTCTGTTACCTGAATCATTTTAATCATCATTTTGAACTTTTATCAGTTTTCAAATATTTTTTTTATCTTCAGTAAGTCTACTATGTCTGATCTGCAAAAATTCAAAGGACCCCCATATGGTATTATATAAAAACATCCCTTAAGTGCCAACTAGTGGTTACTGGAGTTTTGTAGTCCAAATATGTTTGCCCTAATGTTCTAACTCTTTGCAATGATGTTGGAACAGCAGTCATCTACAATCATTTTTAAAAAAGTATTCAACTTATGACATAAATGAATAATAACAAGGACTTCACTATTTTTACAGGTGTTCCATGAATGAACACATGGAGTTAGCTTGCCAGGAACAACTTGCTTTATGATCATTGTGCACATCACTTCATGAACAAACTGATGTGCACAAATAGTAATCTATTTATTTATTTATTTATTTATTTATGAGACTTCATATGATTGTTGCAGGTAATTGTTTACATTCCCAGAATAAAATGTGCCACAGAATAGGAAAGGTTTAGATACATCCCCTCCTCTTCAGCAAGTGCAGTTGAAAAAAACTCAGAAAATAAAATCCGAAAGTTGATGATGGAACTTTATTTTCTTTGAAACGTTATTTCTGTGGGTCATGAAGAGGAGAGACCAACATAGGAAAGAAAGCAGGGAGGAAAGAAGCCACAAAGGAAGCATGTACTGAACATTTTACTCTGTGAAACAGATCTATGAGCTGCAAGCTCACCATGAATGTACCCAGAAACCACGAGCTTCATCTGATAAACACAACTAAGGAAGTGAAGCATGCATAAAAAAGAGGACGTCAAGTTGAACCCGAGAAAATCTCACCAGTTCTTTGGCTGTATTTTTTGTACTTCCTCCTTCAGCCTCTACTTCTTAATATGTTCTTGCCTGCATGGCATTTCCTGCTGTTGGTAAGGTTCTTCATGTGTGCAACTTTATTGTTCTCTAATATTAAATCACTCCTCTCCTCCCTAATAATAACCCAAGCAGCTTCCTCTGATTAATGCATGATTTTTACATTGGCCTTTCAAACCTAGTTAGAAGGCAGAAAACAATTCAAAATAACAATAGGGCAATATTGGTGATTTCTAGATATGCTAGACAACTGTTCTCAGCTTGGCCAGTAGCCACCTGATTGGGAAATTGAAGATTTTGAGATCAAACATTTCTTGAGGAGGTCATCAATTTGAAGAAGTATAAAAATATTTGAAGTCTCCAGTGAACTTGGCAATGCATCTTTGAGTTAGGATATATGTGTGCTTTCTCTTGTTTGACCACATTATAATTATTGTATCAGGATCACATAATTGCTACACTCCCATACATTATGGAGTGAGTTACTGATTGATAGAGTAAAAAACACTATCATGATATATTGGGGGGGGAGGCTTACATGCTGATAAATATCCCAATTATTTTGACATCATATGTTGTGATACCAACATAATTGCTGTTTTGTTTCTGGTTAGTGGGCAGTATTCATATTTCTCCTGGACCATCGGATGATGCATGTCTGTCCTATTTCTACAGGGTTTTATGCTCTGCTTTGGGATATTGACTTCCCCATTCCTTGGCTGAGGGACATAAAAGTTGTTTATGTTTTCTTTCAACACAATGCCAGTATGTCTCTCAATGTTATAATCTAAGTTGAGCATTCCCTGATTAACTCTTACAGTATAATGATGAGTCCTAGTGCATTCAAATGATTGAAAGTAAGAGTAAAGTAATTTAATTACTTTGCACTGGGCTTCTCTGTAGGAGTGGATTTTTTCCACCACAGATTGGATAGAATTACAGTCTTTCTGAGGTGAAACCCACATCTATGAATTATGGATTATGCTCTCTAGTTTTTGATAGAAGGCTGTTGAGACCAAGTACAGCAGCATTTTTTCTATTTGTTGTGACTTGTTTGATATCCTCTTGAACCACAGAGCCCATTGCTAGTGTGAAATATTCCTTTCCATGATGGTTTTATAGCATGACACACATTTTTCCACAAGAGAAGATGTAGGTTATGCTACACAGCAGGCTACATCTATTTCAATCTAGATGTGTCGAGACTGCAACTCCTAGAAATTGACCATGCTGCATGAGAATTTTCAGTCCTAATGCACTAGGGAAAATCACTATAAAATTTGTGGGCACCTGCACCTACAATAATATACAATGTATGGGTGATATGCAGTAACCTAGAAACTGTATGAAAGGGCTGTTGCAAGTGGTCAGAGAATTGTGGCAGCCTGGATACAGTATTAAAGCATCAAGGGATCTGGAATGATCCCTCCTTTCTTTTCAATTTGGACAAATAAAATAGAAGAACAATAATACTTTATTTTGTACTATTTATATGCTAGGCCTGTTGAAAATAGTTTAACTAGGCAATGGCCAGTTCATATTTCTCACATCTTTTCCTTTGCCTCGGGGACTTTTTGTGGAAGCACTGTGATGGATTTGTGCACTCTTCAGACAATTGTTATCCTCCTGTGAGACTGCAGAATGGATCATGATAAACTCTCAACTTTGTTATGCAAAACAATGTTCCATTCCCTCTTCTCTAGAAAAATGCCAAATGTTCATGAGATCTCTCCCAAACAAAATATTACCTTTGCAGCCCATTTGATAAGGCTACAGCTTAGATATGCCTACTTTTTGCTTCTGCCTATGTTAGTATGTTTTCTTAAGATTACAGGTACCATAATCCATTATAACTGATCCTGCTGGCTGATAGGCATGATTGAGATTAATAACATTGGAGGGCAACAAGTTGCCTACTTCATTTTATGTATGGATGTACATGTATGTACACATACATACATACATACACACATATCATAAGCATTCTCCAGGACTTCACTTCCAAGTAATCCTAGCAACATCCACACTGGCTAAAGGATTTTAGGAACTGAAGCCAGCACACATCTGAAGACACCCAAACTGGGAAAGTTGATATGAATAAATCACCCTGGAATATGAAAAGGCCCACAGTTGTGTCAGTATAGTAAGTCAGTAGGCCCATGCAAAGTGGCTATGATTTACTTTGTCAGGGCATTTCACCACATGAAGGCAATGT